TTTTTTTTTTTTTTTTAAGAAGAAACTGTTCCCAAAATATATCTTTTTCCTTTGCATCAAACAAAGGAAATACAACGAATGAAAATATTGCCCATTCCAAGCAGAAGCAGCACTGGCTTCCGCATTGCTCTGGCTCTCAGCATCTGCCTCATGCTCCAAGGAGGCCACGTAGCCAATCCCACAACGAAGAGATGCGAGGGCTGCACTTTGCTCCTCTAACACCTCCCTCCGCTCGCTGCGTTTTTGTGCTCGATGAGTTAGGTCCTCGCAACAGCTCGGAGAGGTTACGAACCGGTGTTCACCTTGCGGGCTGCGTTTGCTTCACGTTTCCTCACTTCAGATGTTTTAATACATGGCAGCATTTTGCAGCCTCTCTCATGGGGAGAGCACTGCAGGGTGGTCCAGGTCCGATGGGGATTTATGGAAGAAGCACCTAGCACAGCTTTCGCCACGACCAAGTTTGAATAGTCTGGAGGAAGCCCAAGCTCTAATGCAATTGTGTTCGTTGCTGTCTCCCGCTTAGAAGCCAATGGCCTGTCACTGTCTCCTTGTCACTGGAGCATTGGATAACCCCCTGCCTGCAGGTTTAATGCTGCTAATGACACTTTCGATTGGGGAGGGTAATTACAGCGCTCCGCTCCCCCGAGCGTCAGGGTCTTACATTCATCTTCCAGTAAGACGGCATAACCTCCCTGAGCTGTTTTGAGGACCTAACTCATCGAGTACAAAAACGCAGCGAGCGGACGGAGGTGTTGCAGGAGCAAAGCGCAGCCCGCAAGGGGAACACCAGTTACCACAAAATCCTACCGGCTCATGGGCAGCGAGCACAGGATCCCCTGTGAGGTGCTGCCTCCAGTGCCCAAGAGCAACTCTGGGGAGCTCTTGGACCTCTAGGTGAAGGGTTTATGTGAAGGAGAGGAGACAGGTGGGAGGAAAGATAGGAAAAGGCCTGTGATGGGCAGAGCTTTGGACACGTAGAATCGCTCAGCTCCCTCAGGGAACAGCAGAAGGCAAACGGCTTTTGAAGAGAAACTTAACCAGCAAGCGGGTGCTCTTCCGTGTGGCTGGGCTCTGTTCCTACTGCAGCCAAGGACCTGGCTCTCTGCTGAAATCAAGTGGGTTTTGTACAAGTACAGCATCCCACCTCTTTGTGCTCTTCACAAGTCTTGTCAGGTTTGAGAGCGTGTTTTTCTTTTTTCTTTTTTCTTTTTCTTTTTTTTTTGTAAATACACTTTTTTTTTTTAATATATATTTTTTCATACCTCCAGCTCCTGGAGTCACAGGGCCAGGGGATGGTCTTTGCTTTTATTCCCAGAAAAGATAAGTTTCTTGTGTTCAGGACTGAAAAGTGTGTCCTCCCCAGGGTTAAAGCAAAATCCAAAGCAGCCTAGTGCATGGTGACTTTCAGTTCAAACCCGTGTTTGGAAGAACCTCCCTCTGAGGTTTCAAAGATGGTTTCACTCGCTCTCATCTTCGGGCTGGCACGCGGCCTCTCCTCAGCCAAGGGCACCTGCGCTGCGCGTGTTGCCCTGAAGGTAATGGGGCAGTGGGAGCCTGGTTTGCTCCACAGGGTGAGGGAAGGCTGTGTGGGAAGGTGGTTGCTAGCTGTAAACGCATCAGCAGCATAAAGGCAGGAAGGATGAAGAGCTATTTAAGCTAATGAGCAATGTTGGCATGAGAACAAATGGGGTTAAATTGGGAATTAGGAAGAGTCTTGCAGCCATTAGAGTGGCAAGCTTTCCTGACAGCCTTCGGATGGGTGAGATGGAGCCAAACACGTTGCACCAAAACATGCTGAAGCACCCTTAGGTGACAGCTCGCCCAGCTGATGAAGGAAGTCATCCGAAGTGTTGGTAGGAATTTGGCCCCATTTCCCCACTGCAAAGCACCACGTGCATTTTATGCCTAACGTACCGTGGTCTCATTAAGGACACCCATTTACTGCTTACTGGCAGATGAGGAGCATTCGCTCATTAAAACATACGTTGGGAAAATAAAGGCAAAGGAGAGGTTACGGATAATCCAGAGGTGTCCACCAGCACATGCAAAACTACCAGCTGAAAGCGGAAACCAGCAGTGCTTTTCCCTATGTTATCTGTGTAGCAAAACAGCAACGTGCGTTTGGCTGCTGAAGAGGGCTGAGGGAGGCTGTGTGCCACGTCAAGCATCCTTAAAGGGGGCACCAAGAACTCCAGGTCCCTGCTGCACAATTAAAGCGCGTGCTCACAGCCCTCCAGACACCTTCTCTCGACAGCTCCTCTATTATGGGTCAGGAGAGGGATGTGACAAGTCAGCCTGACCCCGTCCTACCGGGACTGCAACACTCTCCACACTGTAAACGAAAAGGATCTTGATGTTCATTAAATATCCCTCTCCAAGCTTTGGTCTGATCGTAGAGCACGGGTACATTCAATTGAGAAAGGTCTTTTTGGGGACATAGCAAACTACAAGTGACGCACAGGTTAACAGGGACAGGCTGGTAAATCAACAGCACTGAAGGCAGAGTTGTTATTACAGCAGGTGCACAGTGGAACAACAGTGCTCAATTTTCTCTTTGCCACAAACGTGGCAGAAAGAGGGCAGAGCTCCAGAGCATATTTGCATGATCCTAACAGGGCAGAGTGCTGCATCCAGTTTGCCCCCACTGCTTTTGCTTCTTCTCCAAACCAGATAGCACTGTCCTGCACCTCACAAATAACAAGCATGGTTTTTGGCTGCCAACCTGGTCCTACAAGAGATTTAACAGCTGCTGGATACCTGATTTCCAGAGTGGCTGACGTTTTCCTGGGAGGAGGCTCTGTTTCGGCGTTTCACGTAATGGGATGCATAGCTAGTGAACCTCTGGGGCCCCTTGGCATCCTCATCGGAGGTGTCCATATCTGCAGAGTACGGGGACCGAGGCTGCTCGCTCCAGTGGCTGCCTTTGGGGAGAGAAGGCTTCAATACAAAGACACAAGAGACTCATGCCCAAAGAAAGTTACCCCTTTCATTCCAGTCCAAATTCTCACAGTTCCTCCTCCCCAAAAGGAGGCAGGAGGAGTCTGGCCAGAGACACCTACCAGGTTTTGCATTTCTTTCCAGGCTCCTTCTCCGCGAGTTGACCATGAGCCGGACCTCTGTGCTGAACTCCTGCCTGGGAGGGCTCGCACGGGGTCCCTGTTCCTGCAGGTGGAAGGCCGTTGCCAGATCCGCCTCCTCGGCCACGGACTCCTTCTGGGAGGCATCTTCAGCGGAGTCAGGGAAGTCTGGGAAGGCCTGAGACAAGGATTGCTGCTGAGGAGCTGCCGCGAGGACGCTCTCCATCATTCCCTTGTTGAGCTACAGAGCCTAGTTTTGTCCTCTAATAAATGCACACGTTGACCTTTCATAATGACAGTTCTTAAAACTCCAGATAAAAACTCCTGATTAAATTTTTTTTTTTTTTTTTAAATCTTTCCGGTGAACCCCCAGCACTACCTATAGCCACTGCCAGGGGGCAGCGTTAAGTCTTATGAAATCTGGGCACAGGCCTCCCGCTGAAAAAGCTTGGTCCTCAAGATCTAGCCTTTAAAAACCACCACGTCCTCTCACTTATTCAAACAAAAACAACCTCCTGTCCCTCAGGTAGTTTACAAACTCCAAGCTGAATCCAAATGATCTCAAGAGACTTCAGCCCTCCCTCACCTTATGTCAATTTTGGCAGCATATGGGCAGGCTCAGGTTAAAAAAAGAACAAACCTATTTGTTTATCCCTAACTCTAACCAGCTAATACTGAAGTATAAGAGTCCTCCTTCAAAACCTTTACAATTCATTTTTTATTTTATATTTGTAGCTCTCAAAAAAGGGAGAAAAAAAAAAGACAAAAAAAAAAGCCTCTAATGTTCACACAGTTCTGTGCCCCACATTCTCTCCTCCAGCGTCCTGTCCCTCAGGTACCCTCACGAGGGTCATTCCAGCTCTGCAGGAGCTTCATGCAGGCAGTGTGGGTCTGTCCCTTGATGCTGCTGGCAGACTATGTCCCTAGTGCCACCACATGGAGAAAAGGGCAAAGAACAGCAGAAGAAAACCGACCGCTGCCTGCTGTCATCAGCAAAGCAATCGGAAGAAAGGCCAGAGAATCCCTTGCTGTCCCGTCCTGCCGCTTGTCCTTGCTGTGGTTTGACACTCTACTTCTGCCTCAACCTTAGGCAAGGCACTTCTTGCAATGAAAGAACAGCCAGCCAGCAGGGCAAGAGGGGAGGCAAGGCCATCACCTGCCCAAACCACCACGCAATCGATAGCTGGAGGAGGAAACAGAGGCAGCGAGGAGGGAAGGAGGGAAGAAACGCAACCGCCTGCCATGCTCCTAGTACCTGGAAGCCGTCTGGGCTGCTGGCTGCTGGCGAGAGCTGTGCGGACTGGCGGCGGGACTGAGCAGAGTAGTCCGAGTCCAGCTCAAAGTCATAGGGATGAACAGACAGCAACCGCTTGGTCTTGCGCACCTTAGGCAGCGTAGAAGGAAAAATCAGCGTAAAACTCAGATGATCTTGGAGAACAGGAGAGGGAGCGTGTCTGTTCTTCTAGTGAAGAAGAGGTGGGTATAGGCTGGAGCTGGGGGTTTCATACCTTTTAAGGATCCCCTGACTGTCAGGAGACCAGGCCCTTCTTTTGCAGAGGACAAATAACTGTAGTTTCACAGATTGGCCATTTTTATGAAATCTGAAGTGAGGTTATTGCTGATTTTGAGCAAGGCACAGAGAGCCGCCACCACCACCACCATCACCCAGGGAAGACCAAGGGCAGCAGTCAAGGGCACAAAGCTGAGCAGAACAGGCCTCAAGTGGAAACACTCACTCTGCTGTAGCCCTCTGCTTCAGCTCCACGCAGGACATCATCTTCGTTGTCACTGTCATCCCCTGTGCCACCACTGGTGGGCAGCTGGCATTCACCTGCAGGAAGACAGTGGCATGGTATGTTTAGGTGACTTCAGCACCCTCTTTCCTGGCAGTTTTCCCCTTGGGCACACCTGTAGGTGAGGCTGCGCTTCTTATCTGGGTTGAAAGAGGCTGGATAAGGAGTATCTAATATTACTTTTTTCCCCTGTCCAAATGGTACAGGATGGCCAGCAGGTTGCATAATTAAAAAGATGGGGAAAAACCATAGAAAACGGGCAGCATACTCCCCTGATAGCCCCACCAGGGCCTGGAAACTAGAGGCCTTTTTGGGGTGCAACTCCTAGGCAGCAGCACTGATGTCTGGGTAGCACTTGGCCTTGCAAAAGCTTGGATGGGCTCTCGCTGCTTCCCCTCTGAGCTCTGCCCCTCACCAACACGGACCTGACCATGGCAGAGGCCTGCACCTTGGGGACCACCCTCAGTCCCCATGGCCGGAGACCATGAAGAGCCAAAGCCAGTGAGAACCTGTCTTGGATTTGAAACCTGCTGCAATTCTCTTTTAAACAGTAATGCAAAGAATCAACTCACTGTTAATGTCTGGCAGGCTGTAAACTCTGTCATGAAGACCTAAATAAGAAGAAAGAACAGGGGAAAAAATATATAAATACAATTTCTCCAGGTACATCACAGAGAGCAAGTGACTGAGCTAAAATCCACTGCAATGCCAGCACGAGACACCACTGGCAAGGAAACTCAGCAGCGGTGAGGGCAGAAATCAGGGCTAGCCACAGGCAGATCCCAGGAAGAGGAGGAGAGCTTCAACACTCGGAAAGGGCTGCCACCCACCGGTAAGTGGTACCGCAAGCACCGGGGCTGAGCCCCCCGTGCTGGGCTGCACCCACTGTCCTGGGGAACGGCGAGGGGGAAACCCCGGAGCGCCTCGGACGCGGGTGACGGACGGCTCCGAGGGGACGCGGAGCATCGCGGGCTGGACCCTGGCGGGTCTGTCGGCACCAGCCGGGAGGCGCCGCGGAGCTGCTCACCTGGCCGCAGCCTGCCGCACAGCGACTGCAGCACCTTGGCGCTGCCGAAGCGCTTGAAGCGCGACCGCACATGCTCGTAGTACCACTCGAGGGACCCGATCTTCACAATCCTGCCAAGGCGGGGAGAGAACACAGAGGTGAGCTGGGACACCCATCCACCCGGGACACCCACTCATCCTCAACACGGGGACCACCGTGCCCTGAGCGCTCAGGACCAGCAGGTACCTGGACAAGCGGCAGGGATCGCAGACCCAGCCCTGCTCCTTCTTGTTGTAGCGGCTGCAGCCCTTGCAGGTGTAGAAGTGGCAGTCCAGGCACTGCCGCTTGCTGTTGAGCAGGAACTTGAAGGGCTGGAGACAGTGGACACAGTGGGTCTCGTTCAGGTGCGACTGATGCGTCAGGAACTCCCTCTTGCTGCTCTCCTTGTCAATCTTGCACTTCAGCTCCCTGCAGGAAAACCCCCAAGCAAAGCAGTGAGCACCAGGGGAGGGGATGGGGACACCTGTGAGAGCCGTTCCTGCTCTCACTGCTGCAAACCTGCAGCAATGCCAAGGATAGTGGTGGCACTGCACCAGTTTAGACATGGGTTCATCCACATCCAGGATTTCTCCACTGATTTGTGTTTTTTAATTCACCGTGGGTGCTTTTTCCAACACAATATAATCCCACCGCTCTGCGCAACCTCCCACACGGCTTCCTCCATAGTGCTTGATCATGGCAGGGAACAATTTTCCAGGGAGCGTCTCTGAGTTCCCTGGTGGAAACAGCTGCGGGGAAGAGCTAATTCAGGAACACATCACGGGTTAAACGAGCAGAGCTGAGCAAAGAAGCGACGATGGGGCTCCAGGTTCAGCGCAAGCAAGGATCTGGCACTGTTAAATTTCAGGCACAATTTGGCTGTGCCAAAATCTGTCTTGTTTCACCTTGCACGGTACAGACCACAAATAGCAGGAGTCCCATCAGAGCAACTGCTCCTGCAAAGATGCTGGCCGCATCCCAACCCACCGTGACCTTTGAGCCTGGAGTCCAGCCGGGAATTAAAAGCTGTTCTGGACTTCTTAGCAACAAAAAGCAATTAGAGATTAAAAAGGACACGTCAAGCAACCATGCCAAACGATCCGACCAGAAAGCTCTCTACAGGTTGGTTATATTCAAAATGCCCAGCTATGAGCTTGGAAAGCAGCAGCCTATTGCAACTTGGCGGAAAGAAGCAAGCCAAGCACAGAGCATCACCTTGGGATCTCACACCCATCATGAGCAGGTTATACCCAAGACCTACAGGGCTAAATTCAGCAGAGGTTTTTAGTACAGGTAGAAGCAACGTGCAGCGAGGTGTGGGCTGCTCTGGAGTGAACGGCTGCAGGAGAAGCTCACGCCAGACCCACGAACGCCCGGCTAACACAGGTGCTTTCCACAGGCACACTCTCCTGGCACCCTGCTTCACCACAGACTTGCCTGGCTAGCCAGACCAGGTCCCCATGTGGGTTCAGTCCAGGACCAAGCCTGCAGCAATAGCCAGGGACAGCTAAAACACACATTGCAAGCTACGGAGCCTCTGCATCGAAGGCAAGGACCTCCTGCCTTGCCTGAAGGCTATTTGTTCTCTGGGCAACACACTGGCTCAAATATGTTTGTCTTTGGGGCTATGCTCTAAAGCCAGTGTTTGAGTTGCAGGGAAGGTCCTAGAAGCCTTGTTTTCTGTAGAGGCAGGGTAAAGAAACTGCGTTTTCCAGCAGGGAAATCAGGCCCACAAACCTCAAGCAACCAGGTGGCTCCTCAAGGTCTGTGCCCTATCTGGTAGCTGCGCCATGGCTAAACTTTCCTCCGGGGCTTCCCAAAGGAGACGGGCAGAATGAGAGACGGAAGGCGTCACGGCTGGGTTAACCACGCCAGCTCAGGAGGGAAAAGCTCAGCTGATCTAAAGCACCTTCCCCTGGCGCCCTGAGGGCGGTCGGGGAGGCAGGAAGGTCCCAGGGCTGCTTCACGTGGAGCACGAGGCTCCTGCTCCTGGCTCTGCTCCTTGCGCCCTCCTGGAGAGCAGGCAGCTGCATGGCAGCAATACAATCAGACAGAAAATCTCCATTTAACCACGCGTGCTCATTAGGGCTCAGCTCTCGTTTTCTCCCTGGGAAGACTTTCCCAAGCCGCTTGCTGCCAGCGCGCTGGACCGTGCTCGTTGTGCCCCGTGGCGTCACCCGCTGCCATTAACAACTGCGGATCCAGAACGTGCAAAACCAGCTCAAGGACTGAAGCGGAGCCCAAGTTTTTATGTTCGCTACAACTTAGAGCACACGTTAAGCAGTCAATTCATATGTGGCTACTAACTCCCAAAGCAGAAGCCCGCGAAGGCGCAGACTGTGGCAGTGTTACACGCCACCCCCTGCCCGACCACGCAGGCCGCAGAAACGGGCCTGTTTCCACTCGCACTCATTTTTGTTTTTCAAACAGGTGCTGCAGGTACCTAATGAAGTGCCCCAATCTTAACCCCGGCGAGACAGCAGTGCTTGAGCCTGAGAACTAGAAAACAAACAAGGAAGAGGAAGCGCGTTTCCTGGGGACACTGCTTGCCTTTGAACATGGATCCGTGGCTTGCAAACAGGTCCTACCTGGCCATGCCTTTCAGGTGCCACCCCGAAGCTCCGGGTCGTGCTTCTCTGCTCGGGCTCTTGCGCCAATCTTTTGCCCAACTGCTCTGTCTCGTTCTCAGAACTGGTCAGACCCCTCCACCCCCTGCCTCGCCAAAGGAAGGACGAGCCTCAACCCCAGTATTTTACACGCTGGCCATCGTGGCATCCCACAGACGCAGCGCTCCCCTTGCATGTCAATGCGGCGTCTGGCCGGCCAGAGCTTTTGTCCTGTAGCCAGAAGAGGTTTTTGCAAAAAAGAAAGCTCAGAGGGGGCGCGGGGAGGGAAGAAAAGGACCAAGGAGGGTGGCTGGACGTTCCTCCAAGGCTTGCGTGTTGGGGCAAGCCGAGAGGAGTAAAAACAAGTGAAGAGGGGCGAGAGGATACGTGCCCACAGGTCCTTGCGCGCTGAAGGCCAGTTGCATCGTGTCCCAACTTGTTGCAAGCAGAAAAACGCTCCCGGCCTGGTGTAGGAGGGGGAATCGTCTGGCAGCCCGTGCCGGGCGCTACAGACAAAGCTGGGGCCGGCCCCACGGGGCACTGCAACCTCAGCACCCTCCTTTCTCCCCTCTGGCAGGCTCTGGGCCGCCGTAAGGGAGACACCTGGCCCTGCTGGGTAATCCTGTCTATATTTGTAAAATGCCCCCGTCTGATCTCCGTCCTGCACTTGAGGGCTACCAGCAGAGCAAGGCAACAGACAGCGACGCCGAGTCACCTCTGCCGCCCTCACGGGCTGGATTTTCTGGATCACCCTCGAGCTTCTGTGGAAGCAGGAGCGCGGGGAAGGCTCCACGACGCAGGCTGTGAACCCCCCTTGGCAGCAGGAGCAGCTGTTCTCCTGCCAGCTGCCACCAAAGTGCACAGTGCATGGCAGAAGTAAGACCCAGAGTCTCCCCGCGTGGGCCCACATGCCATGAAAAGTGACTTTTCCAAACCTGTTTGCTTCTTTCATCACTAAAAGCGATGCCAACTTCTTTCAGAGCATGCAATGTTAAGAGAAATCTTGTTCCAGCCACCTTAAATGGGTCCCTGAAACGGCTGCAGTGGAGTTGCTGACCATTTTTTCCCCAAAACATTGATTCTCCCACTGAGCTCAGGAAATGTCTCTCCCTATCGGAGTTACCCAGGAACTTGCTCCCTCGTGGGTCTCCCAGGCCGGTCTCCCAGCTCTCCCGTGCCAAGCCAGACGCTTCCACCGCATGGAAAGGCTCCCCGGGCATCCCGGCGTGGGAGGCTCCCTGCGGATACTGCCCAAGGTCTCGCTCCCACCAAGGAAACAAGTGCCTAAACGCTGATTACTCCAAACACTGCTGTGAAATGAAAATGATTGGCCCTGACTTTGGCCCTCCTTTAGCAGCAAACTGCTAATCATGTAAACAAAATATAACATGGCACAGTTTTCTAAATCAACACGTAGCACATGAAACAGCTGGACAGAGACCAGCCTCAAGGATTTATCCCATTTAATAAACTCGCCAGAAAATAGATACCCACAGTGTTTCTCCTCACAGCTGAGCTCTTCCGCTTCCCTGATCAGCTTTAGACCCAGCTCAGATGCCAATATCCCGTGCCAAGCTCAGAGGAGCGCGACCCTCGCCTGCACCCTCCCTATGCCTCTCTCCTGCTCCCAAGGGCAGGAATGGAGGCGCTCACGGACCCTCGGGGCAGCCAAGCCATCTGTCTAGCTTGCAAAATTGGGGGCTAGGTGGGCTTAGCAGAAGGGCTGCAGTGCCTGCAGGCAGCCCTGGAGCACCAGCATCATGCTCCGATAGCGAGGAAAGCTCAGCCAAACCCTAGCAGGCTCAACAGGAAGGCTTAAAATAAACTTGGGAAACTTTGAGATCCAGGTAATGATGAGCAAGGCTGGGGAACCTTTTCACACCGCTTAATAAAGTGAGGGAGCCAATTCCAAGGCTGATCCACTTGGCAAAACCCACCCAAGCATCACACCCAACTCTAGTTCAAGCATTTCCTCCATGGGGCCGGAGAGCCGGACACAGCACCCGTCCCGGTGGCAGGGACGGGGACGCCGGC